CTATATTTTTCGTGGTATCTATTAGAAATCATGTTTTTTTTTTATTATAAACTCAGATAGGTTTTTTTTACGTGCTTACGAATTTTTGTTTACTACCGTCAACGTCATATCATAGATAATCTATAGACTAAAATGGCCGACAGCGTTTTTATATGTCCATGAAGTCTATTTTAAAATTAAAGATTTGTAGCTTTCTAGGTCTCAAAAAAATACAACACATTTTTTTTCGGTCTAATAGAACATTTATTAATAATTTAAAACCTTTTTCCAAAAAGGGTCAACTAGCCTATTTGAGCAATGCTCAAATACGGCCCGGTCAGAGCTCAGTGCGCTTTGGACTGCGTTAGCGGATAGTAGTCTTTGAAAATATCAAAATGCCTAATTGCGCCGTTGTTAATTGTAAAAATACGTCGAAAGTAGTTTGCAGAGTGAGAGGAGACGTTTCGTATCATCGGTAAGTAGTTGTGTTATTTATTAGAGCTGTAATTTAATTAAACCCGATGTTTTATTATTTTTAGTGAATCCTACTACGTCCAAACATATCTTCGTTACGGATCCAATATCGCTATCCATTGCCGGTCTGTCTTTGCTAGTATAATTGGAGTTGTTAAGTTAATGCGCAATGAAAACAATACAAACGAAACAATCGCAACCGCGACTAATTCGTGGTCCAGCCACTATTCTCATTCCTCTGTCGAATTTTACAAATAGTGTTGTACTTGCATAATCGTATATTCGATTCAATCGATTCATACGTATAGTCGATTTTGGAGACAGAAGAATGATAACTGATTTAAGTTATTTATTTAAGATTTCCACGTGATTCTAATACTAAAGAAAAATGGATTGACGCAACAGGCAATAAAGACTGGTTCCCTACAAAACACAGTACGATTTGTTCCATGCATTTTAAAGAGGACGACTATGTTTCAACGAAAAAACGACGCTTGTTCGAAAAAGCGTATCCGACAATTCAGATAGTGAAGACCACAAGTAGTGAAGAGGTTAGTGGACGAGCCGGGCCCATAATATACAATACACATGCAATGTATATATAGTATACGGTATTATTATAATTTTTTATTCCTTTCCATTTACAGGAAATAAATCAACCATCTCGTACACTGGAGAAACCTTCGTTACTGAATTCACCAAAGAAGACAAAATTAAATAAAATAATCAAAAATAAAAAGGTTACAAGAGCAGAATCGTCGTAAACATAAAAAAAATATTATTCTGGAGACAATAATAGAATGTTTAAAAAAGAAAGCCCTCATCACTGAGGAGCAAGCTGAATCTTTAAAAGTTATAAATGTTACAACTAAGGAACTTTATTTTAGACAAATGAAAAATTTAAAAACAAGCCCTGATGGGCAGATCGAAGAGGATCTAACACCATTTACCTCTACAAACTGTAGAGGTAAATGGTGTTAGATCATCTGGATCTCATGTGGAAATGGGCGTTCCCCAGGGTTCAATTTTAGGTCCCTTCCTGTTTCTAGTATATGTAAATGATTTGCCGTTTTTTGTGGAAAACTTGTGTGAGATTGTATTATTTGCTGATGACACATCTTTATTATTTAACGTTGACAGGCGCAAAAACAACTATGACGATGTGAATAATGCTCTCTCGCAAGTTCTGCAATGGTTTAATGTCAATAATCTAAAGCTAAATGCTAATAAAACCAAGTGTATTCAATTTTGCTTACCTAATGTAAAAGTTGAGCATATTGAAATTAAATTAAATAATGAAAAACAAGATTTAGTAGACTCGACTACATTCTTGGGTATAACGGTAGACTCAAAACTGCAATGGAGTCATCACATTACGCTTTTGGCTGGTAAACTTAGTTCAGCAGCTTATGCCATAAGAAAGATAAGACAACTTACTGATATAGATACTGCCAGGACTGTATATTTTAGTTACTTTCATAGTATCTTATCATACGGCATTTTACTAATCTAATCTATTTTTAATGATGCTGAAAACTATATTAAAGGACTAAAAACTTCCGAAGGACAGTCATTGATCAAAAGTGGAAGGAAAACTGGATTCATTGGCTTATTAGTTTGTATGGCAAGCACAAAAGAACTGGTTCATCACTTAATAGAAGAAGAAAAAATTAAATTCTTGACAATGTACCGCTTTAGTCAAGATCATCTTGAACTATTCTTCTGCAATGTACGGGCACACGGAGGATGCAATAATAACCCCACATCCCGACAGTTTAAATCCTTTTACAAAAAACTATTGTGCCATGATCAGCTGAAAACTAATAATGATGGAAATTGCATAGCTTTAGAAGAAATTTCAATATTTATATTTTGAATTTATATTTGTCTGTCGTGTTGTGTCGTGACGTGTCAGAAAGGTATCGGTTTCATACATTTAGTACGGTTAGAATTATATTTGTGTCGCATTATGTCGACAGATCGCGACAGACAAATATAATTCGAACCGTGCTAAATGTTTGAAGCCGATACCTCTCTGACGTGTCACGACACAACACGACAGGCAAATAAAAATTATATTATGATTACAGTAAAAAATCAAGTAACTGTAGTTTTATCATTCCTCTGTCTTTGAACTGGAATTATAATCGATTAAATAATCGATATATAAAATTCGGCATTTTTACTCATACTATAACAAAACTGCAAAATACCTACATTAGCTCACGCCACATTTCTTATTTTTAATGGTTTCTGCTCAAAAGCCTAATAAGTATTACAATAAATTTTTTACGTATCTATAAACAAAAACTTATTTGAAAAGCGGTGAATTAAAGCAATAACAGTCAAGCAGACGGGATGCGCGCGCGCGACTTCTCACTTCAAGGACTAGCGGCGTACTGGCGCACAACTCGCCGCGGCTGGCGCCTTTGAATCGTTACGCGCGGACGAAGAATTCCCATCACTAAAATGCTCTTGTGTCGTCACAGTAGGTACTAAAAATGTGGCACGCGTGGTTTTCATACAATTTGATGAACTTGCGTTATCTATACTATCTATGTCTGTGTGGGCAGCCCTATCGCGTGTAAGGGTGCGGCCAGAGTGCACTCAGATTCAGATTCAGATTCCGAAAACAAGCGCGAGAAATAAACAGTGTAGTCGAAGGGTACGGCCAGAGTGCACTCCTGATTCAGATTCAGACTCAGAAAACAAAGCGCGAGAAAAAGCAGGCAACCTGCTTAGACTACACTGTTTATTTCTCGCGCTTGTTTTCAGAATCTGAATCTGAGTGCACTCTGGCCGCACCCTAACGCAGCGCTCGGCCGTAGGCAGTTATTTCAAGAACAGGGCCGACTCACAATACTGTATAGATAATATTACCGTGGTACAGAGGTCACTATACAGTTCCGGACACATATATCGGGCCACACAGTGGTTCAAGTTTTGATGATCCCTATCTTAAAATAAATGTTACATTGAGCAAAAAGTTATCGTTATAGTATAGTTAAAGTTATAGTTATATATAAATAAAAATAACTTTACCTACTACTAAGCTCCACAAAATCAATAATTCGTTTAGAGGTCTTAGTGTTCGCTTTTACAATAAAGTTCCAAGCAATATTCAAGAGTTAAGCATGACTAAATTTAAATCGACCATTAAAAAATCACTTGTTAAGAAAGCATATTAGAAAGTGTCAGATTATATTACAGACAAAAATGCTTGGGTATGAACTGTTCCAACCATTCCAACGGGTATTTCTATATGATTTAAATTAAGAATTATGTGTTGACAATACTATAATTAAATTGAAAGCTGTATATAAAGTTGATAACTTAAGGAAGATTATTAGACTGTTTAAGAATAATTGATTGACAAAACGGCGTGGTTGTGATTTCTCCTTTGCTTTGTTTTTGTAATTGTTTGTGTCCTACAGGTAAATGACCTTAATTTAAGTAAATATGTTGTAGTTAGTATGGGTAGTTATGGGTAGTCATGCTCTCATAATAGTCTCTTCGGCGGTGTCGTGTGAGGCGGGTCGTTACGTTCCCTAAAATATGGTTGAGCGAAGCGATGGCTGGTTCATGCGTCATGCTCGTGAACGGGTGTTGCCAGCGGAAATGAGTCTGCCCTAACTTCCTTAATATTGAAGTTAATGTTTAGTCACACTGAATATAAATAACACTATTTGTATTTATACTGTATGACACAGCAATCAAAATGCAGGTAAACAATTAATTTATATTTAATAATTATGTAATGAAAAGTGACTTTCTGAATCACCTCTGAAGTCATTTTTCAATTTGACGACTCTGTAAATAATGAAACAGGGAGAAAAAAACAGCCCTTGCTGAGTTTCTTGCCGGTTCTTCTCAGTACAAGGTCTCCCGCCGTAGATTTACGAACCGATGGCGTAGCTTCTAGACATTCATGAGTGCTTGTAACAGCCTAAACTGAATAAATGATTTTGATTATGATTATCGATGGCGTAAGTGGTTAGCGCGTTCGGCTGCGATCGTTGAAGTCAAGCAACTTTCGCAGTGGTCGGTCATTGGATGGGTGACCAAAAATTTACTATCTCTCGCTCCTCCGTGCTTCGGAAGGCACGTTAAGCCGTTGGTCCCGGCTGCATCTGCAGTCGTCAGCACCCACCAACAGCACCGTGTTCTGGTGGTGGTTCATGGCCCAATCACCCTATTCATAGGGAAGGTCTGTGCCCCAGCAGTGGGGACATTAATAGGCTGATGATGAAGACGAATATTAAAGAGTAGGTACGTTGTCAGGTCAAGAGAAAATAAAACACAAAACGCTTATATTAAATTAAAATTTAATATCATTTCGTGCGCACATAAAACACACTCCACATAAAAAGTAACAATTTTTGGGCATTCACTTCCTAACTTATTCACAACTGGTAAGTGGTTTTATTTATTTACACTTAAAAAATAACACAAGGGACTATTGTTAAAATTGCATTCAAATACCCACAAATAGGTAACAATGTACTTAATAATATAAAATTAAAGTTATAAAAACCAAACTTAACCACCTGTATATTGGATAATACCCGAAATTGATCACCCTATATATATAATTATACAATAATAATAAAAAGCACCTGAATCAAATTTTCTGTGGAATTAAACACATTTTTTTTTTCCTTTATATTTACTTCTCTTGCCTATTCGTATTCGCTATTTGTGAACTCGACGCCAGTCTATCTTTATCATGCTCTCTAAAGAAAGATAAGGACAGACTGATGCCAAGTTTGCAAATAGCCAACTCGAATAACCAAGCGAGGTGCCAGCAAAATTACAATGGTACATTTAATAACTGTCCAAATCGTATTGCGTGTTCGTTGTTTGTTTGTATAATTCTCTCAAATCCTCAGTAAAGACAAATACAATCAAAGAAGCTTTGTTATTTGTGCCTATGAGCCCACACTTTTGTTCCGTAGCGAGAGATTATTAGAAAAGTTTACTAGAAAAAATTCTACGCGGGCCAGGCAGCAGATGGGACTCGAACCCGCATCCTTCGCTATCCGGGCGGATGTACTGACCATAATGGTACTAATTCTCTCTACTGTTTTTTAATCTGCAAGGCAGCGCCATCTCTTCGCAAAGCCTTCGTTTGAAGAGAGAGAAAGAAAACGCAGCCGGCTGGAAAGCGACACGGGCTCGCCGTTTCAGTACACTTAACACGAACCAATATGGAATTCGTATAGTTTGCGAGTTTGAAATGTCAATGTCAAATTTGGTATGGAAACTTGAACAGCAGCGCCACAAAGGACGTAACGAGAACTAACAATCAATATACATTTGAGTCCGAAATGTCATTGTCAATTCTGTACAAATTTTTAGAGAGTTTTTGGCGGGATTTCATCGAGTGCGGTTGGCGTCTTATTTTAATTATCTTAAATTTGTTCATAGTATATATTGTGAAATAAAAATGGTGTGATTTTGTGTTACAACCGTCTGCGCAACTGAAGAATTAGTGGAATCTTTAAAATATACGCTATTCCGGTCAAATGGACGTGAGAACTTTATTGTAGTATTGACTACCTCACAGAAGCTTATCGAAAAAGCCAACTCGATATATTTCGTGCCAAACACTCCAAGAAACATTAGAATGCGTCACACCCACATCTAATGTAAAAAAAGGAAGATTAATACAAAAATAAGACTATGGCTGCATGGCTTTGCCTTTGCCTTTCTCAACAGAGAAGAATAGAACTAAAGAAAAAAAAAACTTTACGCACTCTGTGGCGCTGCTGTTCAAGTTTCCATACAAAGATTGACATTGACATTTCGCACTCGCAAACTATTCGAATTCGATAATGGTTAGCGGTAGGGGTACAGTTCTGTCTCGCTCGCTCGATTGAATGTTTATATGTATATACAGACGTGTGCTTGTGTGAGAGTTGCTCATGAAGTTGAGTCGGATCATATTTTATTTGATGCTAGTATGAGCGTCTTCCATTTTTGTTTTAATCTAAGCTGTGGGTATAGTTAAATTTCCCGCTCAAATTTAAACGCAGTATACTCCACCTTACAGAACATTGTACAGAAAAGTTATTAACCAACGCAATTTGTGTTTTTGTTTCGCTTTAATAGTATTGCAAGAAAACCGTGTTTTAATATAATAAAGAATAGCTACCCAACAACTAGTGTAATAATATTAATTACACTTGGAACTATGTAATTTAAACTTAATAAATTTCCTAAGATAAAAGTTATTGTAAAACAAAAGATTTTTTTCTATTTTATAATTAATTAGTATTTAAAAATTCTTAACAACAATAATATTTACATTTTGTTTAAAGAAAAAATTACAGGCAAGATTTAGAAATAGTGTTTTCGTTTTTTTTAATTGATAAAGGCGATTTCAAGTTTCAAAATTATCATGTTATTTTATCGTTTAAATAAAACGAGTTTCAATGCGAAATTAAAGTTCTTTCAATAGAGTTCTTGGAGCGAATTCATGAAAATTATTTCAAATATTGTTTGTTTTTAATCTGTATTCCCGTCTTGATAAAGACAAAGGCAGAGCAATGCAGCCATAGTCTTTATTTAAGTTTTTTTTTAAATTTCAAATTTGGGAAAGCAAAAGAAACAAAGTCCATACAGCCTTATCTGCACTATTTTTTAATTATTTCTGATTCCTCAGTTTCGCAGACGTTTCTAACAATAAAATAATAATATTTTTGTATCATAATATCCAATTTGAATAAACAGAATAATTCATACGCGTAAAAATTAGACGTTTATCGCACCAAGAACTTATTCAAAGACAGTGAAAACGTGTGTGTTCTCAGTTTGGTAAATCGAGTGCCTCTACAATAATGCCAAATGAATATTTTGAAAATTTTACATATACAGACAGACGACCGATTTGCGAAAACAGAATAATTCGGTCCCCATATTTAATATAATTTTCTTTAAGTAAATATAATTATTTACAAATCCGTTTTTATATATTAACAACACTTAAAAGTTAAATGTGGCGTTTTACAAAGCGTTTATTTTAAGACGTAATTTATTAACAAAGATTTATAACACTATTAACCCGAAAAATAGTAAACTTGGGGATAATCTTGAATTTATTAAAAATACACTTAAGACTACTTTGTTTTACAGTGATTGTGTGAAGGAAAATTTTAAATGGTTACATTGAAACGTGTTTTTCTTTAAAATCTAATTACTTTTTTTAAATAATTTATAAACAAATGACTTGCTCCACCACTAAATTATAAGATAAAGTCTGTTTCACGAAAATTTGTATTGTAATTACAGTACTCGGGCAACTGTTAAGCCTATTTAGTATTCTGTGTTGTGGGCTTTTGTTATTTCACTGAGAAATTCATATTTTTTTCATCATTTGATTCTCAACTGATTTTATTTTAAATAAAGTTTAAGATTTTTTTATTGAAAAATGAGACAGGGATTTTTGACTGCCAAAGACGACCATTTTGGATTGTCTATTGACGAAATTTTTTGACAGATAAGTTATTAAAACTGCGGCATTTATCAAGATGAGTAGCTACACAGTTACGTAACACGTTTAAACTATTAAAAAGTATTAAAAAAACAGCAGATCAATTTCGACAACCGTATCCTGCGTTACGAGAAACGTATTGTCAACATAACCGTCTCTAGGAATGTGACACTATTCGTTATACGCATAGTAAATTGAAACTACTGGCCCAGTAATGAATTAACCATGATTATCCACATATTCCTTTCTTTTTTTTTTTTTAGTTTGATTAATAAAAATAATACATAGTATTTCACCTTAATATTAATAAAAACTTAATGAAAATAGAATTAACTATTTATTATGACAAAAACGTATTCTTCCTCACAGGAACCATAAAACAGGGAGTAATTGTAAAACTTAAGTACACATTTTTATTTTGCTACAGAAATGCAAAATACCTTTGTTTATGTTCGTCTCTGTGGTATAATAGGTATCTTTTTATTAACTTAAACATGAATATTGCCCGTTAAGAGCCCTTTTACAAAATTGCGCCGCTGCCGTACTGATCGGCGCGTAGGTAGATTTCTCTAGTATATATTGCATTTTACGGGTGATGTATCGAGTCTTATAAAATAATTATTAATGAACTAATTATAAAAATATATACTAATTTCAGTAGTTTAATGATGGTAGATTAGTTTTATGAAAGTTTTTGATAGTAATTCTATTTAATTCTATATCAAAATACGAGGTAAACCTGCATATTTTTTTGGGAAAACTCACGGAGGTTAGATTTTTTTTTTGATAATTAATGAGATGGAAAATCAAAATTCTAATACATTATGTTACAACAAAAACATATTTCTGATGTCGTAGTAATTATATTTGATCTAATTTATTGAACATTATTGAGAGATTGAGGCGTTTGAAGTTGAGCATATTATCGTTTTTTCCGTAAACTAGCTGCAGTAGAATAATTAGTACAAAAAAGGCAAATATTCTACATTAACTTACAATAGGAAGACTAAATCTACCGTTTACTTCTATTGGAAATAGTCAAAAAAAATTGTAAGGGGGTAAACGAGGCGCTCAAAAATTACGATTCTTTTGAAAAAATGTGAAAGGGCTCTTAACAATTACAATTCCAAATAATTACCCAAAAACAAAGTAAGTTTTCTGTTACTTTTACAATAAAAAAAATAGAAAATCTTTATCATCTTTTTTTTTTAAGAAACCCAGTCATATAAACATACATTATCTCTCATTCACCGAACCGAAAAAAAAATCCCAAAAAATCGACTTACCCCAGTTCTCGTCTATATGGTCTCTTGACACATATTTGGCAAGTCATAACCCTTTTGCAACCTAAAATTGTAGTCCTGTGTTCCATGAATAGTCCTAACGTGTATTCTCAAATAACTGGTCCTCGTAAAGAATTTATAGCAAATATGACATTGGTACTTCTTCAACCCCGTATGAGTTTCCAAATGCCTTTTCAGTTTCCCTTTGGTAATGAACCCTTTACCGCACTGCTGGCAGATGTAAGGCTTCTCTTTAGTATGTGTGAAGCTGTGTAATTTCAAATAGTAATGTAACTTGAAGCTTTTGTTGCAAACTTGACAGACATGTTTCTTTTCTTCGGCTTTCTCCAAGTCTTCGATGGCTATCTTGGACCCGTGGCCCTTCAAATGTTCTTCCAAGTAGAAGAAATGTTGGAAGACCTCACCGCATATGTTGCAGACGCGGGATCTCTCGTCTGTAGTGGGCAATAGTTCGGTAGGATTGGCGCTAGCGTTGGCCGCGGCGCCACTGTCGTTGTTTTTCGGTATTTTTCGCGCGTTTTGTAAAACCATTGCTAGTATTTGATTTCGGTTCTCTTCCACGATTCTGTTGGTGGAAAACGGTTTTCGGTTTTATACTGGCGGTCTACTCTTGTTCTCCGAAACGAACTTTCGATGATGAAGTTCAAACGAAAGGACACCCGGCATTTTGTGCCAAAGTTGTATACTTTTTTAATTTTTTTATCTGTGTTTCATAATTGGGTAACGTAGTCTGGCAATATTTGTCATCAGCAGCTAGCTGTCAATGTCAAATACGTAGGTTTGTCATCAAAAGGGTTTCTATATCAAAAAATATTAATCATTAAATAACTTCTTTCCACGATTCACTAAAAATAAGGCAAAAGTAGTTTTATGTAGCAAATAATTTTGGCTTTATTTTGAGACTAAATTCAACTGTATACGTTTAGCATTTTTTCTATGAAAAGTGCCGGGTCTCCTTTAATTTCGTCAATTCAAGGTAATTTTATATTTAATTAGAACGATAAACTATCGAATAGGGATGATGACTATTTTTTTTCTTCGTTTATCAGGTAGATTATCAAAGAGTATTGGACACGTATTTTTTCTTTTTTCACATAATATAAACATTGCAGAATATTGATTTGAAAAGTCGAATGACGTCACGTTTTGGTACACTTTTAAGTGAAAATTCACTAAAAAGTGACGTCACGAGCCCCTACTCCCAAACTTTGACGCGCTATAATTTTGTCATTTTTTGGTTGATTGCCCAAAGAAAAAATACGTGTCCATTATTTTTTGATCATCTAACTGACGGACTAAATAGAATTTCGTTTACTGTACCCCGTCATCTACACCTCAATCTATATAATATTTTATAAATTAACGAACCAAAAACATAGTAAGAAAAGTGCGAAGCTTCGATCGAAATTTCGTTTTTCGTTGAATTAGAGTAGGTCTCCTGTTTGGTTGGTCGTTAGCGAGAAACTTTTGAGTTCGATTCATACATTACCCCCATACAAACGCTAAATACGACAGTCCACACCCCCTCTGCTTATGAAATACACTTAAACTAACGGTTTCTCCCACAATCCCATGCCATACATCTCCATACGAAGCTATACAATCGCGGCAAACCCTATTTACTTAAGAATAACATCGAAACGCACGTAAAATAACGTTTTCACCCAAATTCCGACTCATACTCCTCCCATACACTTTCATACAAACGCTACAAACCGTCATTCTGATTAAAATATTCCCGTCACATTTATTATAGCTGGAAACTATATTTTCTTAGTAAAAGTGGCTTTAAAAACCAAATATCTAAACTGTCCTTCCCTTCGATACGTAGAAAGAAATGCATCTGCACGTTAAGTATGAAACTTGTTGCCCATACAGATCCATACAAACCGTCTCTTCTTATTAAAAGCGACAATATACCGAAAACATTAACGTTTTCACGGACAATCTCGTCCCATACATATGTTGGAAACCTTTTCTTCTTTTTAAAAGCGACTACATTCACCCGAAATTGTAGAAATCAACGTTTTCACTCATGATCCCGCCTCATGCACCTCCCATACACATCCATACAAATGCTGATAACAAAATTTCTTCTTAAATACGACCAAAATTAAGGGTTTTTAACCCATACTTCCGTCTCATACATCTCCCATACACTTTCATACAAATGCTGCAAACCGTCTTTCTCATTAAATACAACCAAAATTAACGTTTTGACCCATGTTCTCGGCCCATATGACTACTAAAATCCTGTCATATTTTTGGAAAAAGCGCATTTTAAAACTAAAATACTTACAATCCCTCCTTCTGGTGCGTAGACATATGCTTCTGTACGTGGTATTAAGTATGGAACATATAGCCCATACAGATCCATACAAACCCTCTTGTCTTATTAAAGCGACAATATACAAAAAAATAACGATTTCACGGCCAATCTCGTCGCATACTTATGTTGGAAACCCTTTCTTCTTATTAAAAGCGACTTTATTCACCCGACATTGTAGAAATCAACGTTTTCACTCAAAATCCCGCCTCATACACCTATCATACACATCCATACAAATGCTGCTAACCAAATTTCTTATAAAATACGACCAAAATTAAGGGATTTAACCCATATTTTCGTCTCATACATCTCCCATACACTTTCATACAAATGTTGCAGACGCGTTTTCACCCATGTTCTCGGCCCATATGACTACTAAAAACCTGTCTTTTTTAAAAACTAAATACTTACAATCCCTCCTTCTGGTGCGTAGACAGATGCATCTGCACGTGGTATTTAGTATGGAACATGTGAGCGCACACTGGACATTCGTATCGTAATACGAATTTGTCTGTCCTATGGCTCAATAGATGGCGCTGTAGTTTGCAAGAGGCGTTGAAGCTTTTAGAGCAGACGTTGCATTGGAATTCCTTGTCGGGCTTATGGTGTTTACGGTGGTAGACCTGTAGAATATTATCAAGAATTAATATTACCAATATTGCATTCTCACGAGAAAAACTTACGCATAGAAGGTTTGAGCGTACACACTCATTTTTTTTTAATATTTCCAACACACACCAATTAGTCTAGCCCCAAAGTAAGTCAAAAAGTCATAAGATCTTTACTCAAAGTGCACGCACAATATAAGTCTTTCATACTTTTCGTCCATATTTTTTTTCTCTACCACCACCAGTAAAGGACAAACTATCAAATCATTTTTAGTGACAACATTTATATTATACTAGCGGCCCGCCCTCGCTTCGCTTCGATGTAGAGCTGAAGTGTAGACTACAGTTTTTGTTCTCAGGCTTGTATTATACACCATGACATTCATCTATGATTCTTCTTACACCTGCATGCAGTCTTAGCCCGATCGGTTTAAAATTGACAAAGTTTTATACAAATTTTCATTCCGTATTTTATCCCCTTGGGGGTAGAATTGATCAAAATCCTTTCTTAGCGGATGCCTACGTCATAACATCTACCTGCATGCCAAATTTCAGCCCGATCCGTCCAGTGGTTTGGGCTGTGCGTTGATAGATCACTATGTCAGTCAGTCAGTCACCTTTGAGTGTTATATATATATACTAGCGGCCGCCCGCGACTTTGTACGCGTGGAGTTAGAAATAAAGGTTCACTGCTCGTTCCCCGTAGGTGATAGCGTGATAATATGTAGCCTATATGTTGACCCGACTTCTTAATAATATTCGTGCCAAAGGACACGGCTAAGAAACTGCCCTTAACGTGTATAATTATTTAGCTTAGTAACTTCATATTTTTTTTATTATTTATTACGTGTTTATTATTCTCATACAACTTTCGTGAAATAATCAAATATTTAAAAGTATAAAAATTGACTTCATGTCTGTTTCAAAAGGAAAATGTTCCGTTTTATAAAATAAATGTACACAAAAAATATCTGTGTAAGTATATCGAAACAAACAATATTATTTCTAAACTCCTTCAAACTATGACATATTTGGCCCTAATTTTTATTATAACAAATCACTGAAGGCTTAAAATAATAGATTTTTTTATTCTGATCAGGCTTGAGACAAGGCTGTATGATAATTAATCCTTTAATTTTTGCAAATGGACAAAATAAAACTACACAGATTTCCTGTTAGGCCGACGATAACAAATTATTTGTATTTATTTTTACTTTAAAATAACTTTTTGTGAAGAGTTTATCAGAGAAATGGGAAGAAAGATTCTAAGAATATTCGAAATTGATGACTCTGTAAATAATTTTATCAACTGTAGTAAGGTAATGACATAGTAGGAGTTCTCATAATTTTCAAGATTGTGACTTTATCAAAAGTTCTTGAGCCTTTTTTCATAGAAATTATAAATATTCAGCCATTTACCATAAAATATTACTAAGTACAATATTTATACAAAATTTCAACATGTCCTTTGAAGTAAATCCATGCAGTACTTTTTGATTTTATCCCGGACATACATACAGAGAAACAGACAAAAAATCTAAAAGCTATATTTTTGGCTTCGGTATCCATTGTAGATCACACCCCAAGTATTCTTTTGAAAAAATATTCAATGCACAGTTTTGACTTTCCTACCATTTTATCTAATATATAAAATTCTCGTGTCGCGGTGTTTGTGGTTAAACTCCTCCGAAACGGCTTTCCCGATTCTCATGAAATTTTGTGTGCATATTGGGTAGGTCTGAGAATAGGACAACGTCTATTTTTCATCCCCCTAAATGTTAAGGGTAATCCACCCCTAAATTTTTTTTTTCAGTTTTGGATTTTTTTTATGATACATTAAACAAAAATACATACAACCCCAAATTTTCACCCTTCTATCATCAACCCTTATTTTTGAAGTTATACTTCTTTAGGCGCGTTATGAAAAAATGATGAAAGTGAAATTTTAAGATGCGCGCGCATCACTGTAACACAAAAAATTAATAGCATGAAGTTGGTCGCTTTAGCGACTTTGGTCGCTTTAGCGACCAACTTCATGCTGTTACTTTTGTGTTTACCGCACATTAAGAAAATCTACCAACAAAATAGAAATAGAATCTCTATTTAGTGGGTGCTAACGACTGCATTGTGAAGGCCTATCAAAAGTATATATTAATCTGGAACAACGGAGCGCGATTCAGGAGACTACAGCGCCATCTCTTGACCATTGGTGTAGTAGAACCAAAAACCACATCTTTATTTTTTGTAATAAAGTAACAGTTATAGGTATTCATGTTTTTAATATTTATCCACATGTTTCTAGTTTGTATATTCGGAATACGTGTTTGAGTTTCATACAATTGCAAATCACATATGTTCTAATAAATTATATTCAGTAGCGATTTTAATTGAATATTTTGATTATTTATTTATTTTTTCAAATTAAAACTGAACTTTATTGACTGTGTCCTTTTCCAGACTTTTTATTAATTTATTGTAATTAATTATTTGCATGCAATTAAAAACTAATTTTAAACGATGCCAAAGAAGGATAACTTCTCACGCGCCTACATAAGTACACGCACCCATTTTTTTTTATGATACATTAAACAAAAATACATACAACAACAAATTTTCACCCTTCTATCATCAACCCTTATTTTTTTATGGCGGTACGAAGTTCGCTGGGTCAGCTAGTTTTATTATATGTAAAGATATCATTTATATAATTAGTAATGGGTGTCTCACCATGGTCTCCCGCTTCTTGTATGTCCGGCCGCATATGGTGCAGACGTAAGGGCGCGGTCCCACGTGCGTGGCCTCGTGCTCCCTGAGGGCGGTCTCGTCGATCATCACGTCGAGGCAGAACGAACATTTCAGAACCAGTTCCTCGCCCGCGTGACTCTTCTTGTGAACCTATACAACAAGAATAATCTATATATATATAAAACTTAAAGGTGACCGACTGACATAGTGATCTATCAACGCACACCCCAAACCACTGGACGGATCGGGCTGAAATTTGGCATACAGGTAGATGTTATGACGTAGGCATCCGATAAGAAAGGATTTTTATCAATTCTACCCCCAAAGGGATAAAATAGGGAATGAAAGTTTGTATGAAACCTTGTCAATTTTAAACCGATCGGGCTGAGACGTTGCATGCAGGTATAAGAAGAATCATAGATGAATGTCACTGTGTATAATACAAGCCTGAGAACAAAAACTGTAGTCTACTCTTCAGCTCTACACCGAAGCGAAGCGAGGGCGGGCCGCTAGTCTAATAAATAAAATTCTCGTGTCACAGTGTGCGTAATTGAACTACTCCGAAACGGTTCGACCGATTTTCGTGATATTTTATATGCATATTCAGTAGGTCTGAGTCGGACAACATTTATTTTTCATCCCCCTAAATGTTAAGGGTACAATGCATATTCAGTAGGTCTGAGAATCGGACAACATTTATTTTTCATCCCCCTAAATGTTAAGGGTCCAATGCATATTCAGTAGGTCTGAGAATCGGTCAATATTTATTTTTCATCCCCCTAAATGTTAAGGGTCCCATGCATATTCAGTAGGTCTGAGAATCGGACAACATTTATTTTTCATCCCCCTAAATGTTAAGGGTCCAATGCGTATTCAGTAGGTCTAAGAATCGGTCAATATTTATTTTTCATCCCCCTAAATGTTAAGGGTCCAATGCATATTCAGTAGGTCTGAGAATCGGGCAATATTTATTTTTCATCCCCCTAAATGTTAAGGGTCCCATGCATATTCAGTAGGTCTGAGAATCGGACAACATTTATTTTTCATCCCCCTAAATGTTAAGGGTCCAATGCGTATTCAGTAGGTCTAAGAATCGGACAACATTTATTTTTCACCCACCTAAATGTTAAGGGTACAATGCAAATTGAAATATAACTACAATTATTGTTATTTCTTCTTTCAAATGTTTAATACTTGTAAAGGTATTCGTTTGACATTGTGGGTTACCTACAATGCAAAAGGAAGTGACAATGTAATGTCACTTTGACCGGAAGTTTACTAGCGAGTGACGTCATTAGTCTTTGCCAATCCCAGGCGTTTTCGGTCACGTGATCATAGACCAAAAAAAACATTTGTATTAAATGTTTATTTTACCCAAAAGTTATTGATTTATTTGTTCTTTCGGAATAGTAAAATCTCCGATAATATTCATATTAAAATACAGATGCGAACAATTGGTATTTAATTTCGCATACTGTCCAACGGTATTAAATACCCTAGATACACCAACACGAACAAAATCGTGGCCGAAACCTGTCCAAAAGGTACATTGAACGATCCACGGAGCTTCGTAAGAAGATCGCGTAGTCAAAAACCATATAAGGCATTATTTGAACATTGAAAGTCACCTTAAATGCATACTGTATAAGGTCGTAATCAAAACGCATGCGTCAAAGATTTCTGACAGTTCGAAAGCAAGCTCGTAAAATTTAACGATTTATTGCTATATGCGGAGAATGGTAAAATGATATGTGTTGTCTGTATTCATGTACGGCGTTGAAAGCTGGACCATGAACAAAACCATAGAAGCAAAAATAAAAGCTTTTGAGATGTGGCTCTACAGAAGAATGCTCAAAATATCGTGGAGAGACCGTGTAACTAATATTGCATAGAATGAAGAAAAAATTGGAACTTTTGGAAACATTTAAGAAAAGAAAGATCTCATATTTTGGACACATTTATCGAAATAATAAATATCAAATTTTGCGAAGAATACTAGAGGGGAAGATAGAGGTACAAAGAAGTAGAGGACGGAGAAAGTTAACCTGGTTGGACAATATAAAGAACTTGACAAATATTGAGAACGCTACCAACCTGAGCAGGATGGCTCAGGATAGGGACAAGTTCAGAGGGTTGGTCGCCGACGTCCGATGAGGACAGGGCACAAGAAGAAGAAGCTATATGCGGAAGAATAGACCTTATTTCTGTGCTCTCCAGGCGCAATTCTGAATGCGCTGTTAGCAATATATCAGGTACGGACCGCGTGAAAAAGAGACGGCTATATAACCGACCATGCATTTGAATATCACAAATATTTTCTAATAAATCAGTTTATAATAAGTATTAGAACAAAATTTACTTCAAAACGCGTTAAATTAACAAACATTGATTAGATACCTGTCGAATAAACGACACTTTTCGTACTATAAGTATTTTTTTCGCATTTTCTCACGGAGCTCTGCGGCATCTTGACTTTGAACCAAGAAGTGCTTAAGTGGAGTTCAAGCACTTCTTGATTGGGACACATTTTGAGCGCTGGTGGTGTATCTGGGGTATTTAATATCATTGATACTGTCAAATAGCCTATTAAGAAAGCATGTGCCGCAGCAGTGGGGACATTAAAAGGCCCTATGCGCGCCCTATAAGTAATTTCTTTTACATACCTGCAACGTTTCCAAATGTAGGAATTTCTTCTGGCAATATTCACACGAGTGCGGCCTGGTCTTGTATTTGCTAACTTTGCTTTTAGACTTTTTGTTGAACTGCGCTTTCGCTTTCTTAATACGTTTCCTGTAACAAAAGTCAAAGTCGGATAAAGTCGAACTGCCCGGCTGTAACCAAACAGATGTTGACGTAAATGTAAAAAGATAGATACAGGAGATGGAGTAAAGAACGAGAAAGATCGAGAGAGTAAAGAAGAAGATAGATAGATAGGAGTACAGGAGAAAGAGAAAAATTAATAGATGGAGTAAAGAAAGAGATAGATAGATGGAGTAAAAGAGAAAGAGATAAATGAATAGATCGAGTCAAAGATAAAGGGATAGATAGATAGATTTAAAAAAAAATTAAGCATGTAACTGCTTGATGTTTAAATCTAAAGAAAATATAACTAGAAAAAAATTCACGCGTGCCTTGCAGCTTAAGAATGGCTAGAAGAATTTCGACGCGGCCGTCAGGGCCGCGGTAGCATAATTGGTCAGTGCATTCGCCCGGATTGCGAAGGGTGCGGGTTCGAGTCCCGTCTGCTGCCTGGTCCGCGTGAAATTTTTTCTAGTAATATTTTCTTTAAATAAAGATAGAGTGAAGAAATACATATAGAGACATAGAATAACTACTTATTATTCTATGGGCAAAAATTTATTTTAAACATATCTAATATATGAGGATGAAACCGTCGAGAGACAAACCTCGATTTTTTTAAATTTTTATACGCAGTTTTCAACTTTAGCTACTGTTGTCCCTATCACACGGTATTTGCCAGTACGTGACAGTAATAGCTTTTTCAAATACCTATTTATCAAATTTCTCGCTCTTAAGCCGAGGTGCGATAATTGCTAGTTGAAAATTTAAGGTTATACGCTAACATTATTGCATTTTAAAATGGCATAAGTATTCCCCGCCCCAAGTTCCCTTAGCAACAGTCGCCAATAGAACGCACTAAAGGAGTCATTTTCACTCTCATTCATAAAACAGGTTACATTTTTTTTATAGACAGATCCGACAAATGACCCACCCCACCTGATGTTAAGTGAAGGTGAAGTCCAGACACGAAGATAGCTGGTACAGCAGTTCTACCTGCCACACCAGCCATCCTCACCCTGCCGGCCTGCATGTTGCTTCTTCACGCCTCTTTTAAAGGATCCCAGGTTGTAAGAGGGAGGGAACACGTGAGCGGGCAGAGCATTCCATTTACGGATAGTGCGACAAAGAAATGAGTCACCAAATTTCTTTGTACGCTCAAGCAAAGAACTCAGAAACTACACTTGACTGAGTGGAAAACAGGTGAAGGATGCCGGCAAACGAAAAACGCAGTTCCGGAGGCAAACAAGAGACTTGCCCGCACCTTTACCAGACTTAATAGGGATAAACTCCGCATAGTCATGGGAACCCTGACTGGTCATTGTCCCCTGAACAAGCACCTATACACATTAGGAGTAACAGACAGCCCCCTATGCAGAGGATGTATGGAAGCAGAGGAAACGCCACAACATGTCATTATGGAATGCAGGAGTGTGGCCGACCAACGGGCACGACTTCTCCAGTCACCCGCATCGCTTCCGGAAGCTTGCAGCAGTCTGTCAAGACTGCTTTCCTTCTGGACTAACCTAGGCTGGCTGGAGTAAACGGGAATGTGTCAAGACACGCACAATGGTCCAATGATTAGGACTAAGTGCGGAAACCGCCCTGAAAAACTAAACTAAACTAAACTTCTTTGTACGCGTTGGAATGGTGGCCACAGTAAGACGGTGACAACGTAGGCCAGCGCGCGTGGTCCTCCGAAGGAAAGGGGAAGGTGGAATAAGAGAGAATAACTCCTCAGAACATCTCGCTCATTAGCCTCTATGTGTCAACGGTGTCAGCAACTGTCAAAATAAGTAGTCACCACATACTATAGATCGATCTCACAAAAGACCAAGGTTGGCCTGGTGTAGGGCTGCCATCCGTCCGGGTTTCCCCGGATTTGTCCTAGTTTACGGGGCGTCCGGGGAGCGTCCGGGCGGGGTTTCATGTGTAGTCCGGGTTTAAAAATTTCCTGTTTTGGGTCGCCAATTAATCCGTCAATTTAAATGTCTTTAAAAATAAATAAATCTATTCTAACATTGTAACTATAAATGCTGACTTCCAACAAAGATCAGCTTTGTCGCCCACACTGTCCGTAATAACAGCATTCGTTGCTATGTGGATGACAGCACTGAAACTTTTTACATGGGCAGCAGTGACCACTTATTATGAGGTAAATCGCTAGCTCTTTTGCCTACACATAAAAAAAGTTGATTTGTGACATTTTTAACTGTTTTTTTTATTGGTCTGTCCGGGTTCTGGGCTCCAAGATCCGGGGTTATCACGCGTCTTATCCTGGTTGCTACATTTTAGAGATGGCAGCCCTAGCCTGGTGAGAACTCTGGTGTTCTCCATATTCACCTACGGTGCGGAAACATGGACACTCAAGAAGGCAGTCAGATCTCGTAATGACGCATTTGAGATGTGCTGTTGGAGGTGAATGTTACGAGCACCGTGGACAGCCCACCGCACAAATGCGTCAATTCTTAAAGAAGTGGGAGTCACCGTTAGGCTGTCCACGAATTCTTCGGTCACATAGCAAGGAAGAAAAAGGATACCCTGGAAGTGCTCCTGGTGACAGGAAAAGTACAGGGAAGGCGACCGAGAGGAAGAAGCCCCATGCGCTGGACAGACCAGATCCGCGACAATACCAAAACTGGAGTCCGCGATGCACTCCGTACTGCCGAAGACCGCAACAAATGGAAAGTGGTGAATCCGAATGAGGAGCTCGATGGCGCAAGTGGTTAGCGCGTTCTGCTGCGATCGTTGAACTTAAGCAACTTTCGCAGTGGTCGGTCATTGGATGGGTGACCAAAAATTACTATCTCGAGCTCCTCCGTGCTTCGGAAGCAAGGGCGGATCCAGTTTTGGCGCCAGGGGGGGGGGGGGGGGTCATATAGCAAGGGCGGATCCAGCTTTGGCGCCAGGGGGAGGTCATATAGCCAGCTTTGGCGCCAGGGGGGGGGGTCATATAGTCGTGGTATATTAGATATTGAAAGTACTTAAATAAAATCCCCCTGGGTTTGGTCCATCTGTACCCAGCCCAGGGGGGGGGGGGTCATGGGGGTCATGACCCCCCCCCCCCCTGGGCTGGGTACAGATGGACCAAACCGCCCTTGTTCGGAAGGCACGTTAAGCCGTTGGTCCCGGCTGCATCTGCAGTCTTTAGTACCCACCAATCTACAGTGGGCCCGCGTGGTGGGTCATGGCTTAATCTCCCTATTCCATCCTTAGGGAAGGCCTGTGCCCCAGCATTGGGGACATTAATAGGCTGATGATGATGATGATGAATCCGAATGAGGTAAAAGATATCTGGTGGGGTCGAAAACCCGGAGAGTGGACTGTAGGTGTTGGTTCGAAATATTAAGGGGGTTTGGTCTATGGGCCAACCAATGGCACGCGTGCCATTGATGGCACGCGACACAATATTTTGGGCACGTCGCCAATCATAAAACATGTGTAAAAAATGTTTTAAGTAGGTATTTTATGACGATCGAACGCGAGTGATCCTACGCTACGAAGTAACTGTTTGAAGAAGTTAGCACATGCTATTTTAACAATGTTTTCATCTACCTATGCCTGCGAGTCATTGTTTTCAGAGATGAATAACATTAAAAACTCGTTTAGAAACCGTTTGACAGATGAATCCAGTTCAGCATGCATTTTGCTAAAAGTAGCATCTTACAACGCTAACATAAATTATTTGTTATCAAACCTGCAGCAACAGAAGTCAAACAAATTTTACAGTAATCTAATGTATGCGTGTAATAAAAACATTCCAGAATGTGCCTCTTTGGTTTACTTTATTTCATAAAGAGTTCCGATAGTATTTATATTATTATCTTCTAAATAATCATAAAGTCAAAATTATTTCATGGCATGCCAATGACCCAATTAAAGATTTTTTAGAAAAAATGGCACGTTGATTCATAAAGGTTAGCCTACCCTGGTCTATGGGATAGGATGAGGACAAAACACTGTGCTTACTTAGGAGGGCCTCGACGGTGGCGCTGGCTCAAACGCCAGCTTCTCCTGCTACAGTCTCTTCCGATAATAATAATAATATAGCCTCTTCATTTCCATAATGTACAAGTAATAAATATCATAGAATTATTCATAAGTATATGCATGAAATAATAAAATATTAAAACGATTAATACCTAATCTATACTTATAATAAATCTGTAGAGATGTCAATTCTGTACATGAAATATATTTTTAAAATAACTATAAGGGGGTGATTAGTGATCGATACTGATGCCAAAAATGCAATACTGATTGCAAATTTTTGTCTGTCTGTCTGTCTGTGTGTATGTTCCTTATAGAAACAAAAACTACTCAACGGATTTTAACGAAACTTGGTACAATTATTCTTCATACTCCTGGGCAGGTTATAGTATACTTTTCATCACGCTACAATCAGTAGCAGCAGAGTAGTGAAGGGAAATGTTGGGAAAACGGGAGAAGTTACTTCATTTTTTAAGCTTCCGTCGCGTGTGCAGCCTTAATGGTTAAAGTTACATAGAAATCATGTATGACGGAAATATTCTACATAAAATTGTCTAAAAAATATCCCGCAACAGCATATGTCTATCTTTTAGGGTTGACTCACAATAACACGTGTAATTATATAAATAAAGTCATTGTTTATAGCACAAGCCTGAGAACAAAAACTATAGTTTACACTACAGCTCTACACCGAAGCGAAGCGAGGGCGGGCCACTAGTAATAATAATAAAATTCAAATTCCAAATGATAATTGAATGTCAAAGTAATTATTAATGCATGTCATTATGGTCCCCTCAACGGGTAAAGGCCTCCTCCATTTTGCTCCACGTCTGTCTGTCCTTTGCTTTTGTAGTCCAATTTTCACCAGCCTTTCATATTACTTCATTAACCCACTTTTCTCTCGGTCTACCTCTTTGCCTTTTGTTTGTAGGTCCCTATCCATTCGTGCAATGTGACCCGCCCATTTCCATTTTAGTTTTAGAGAATGTTCCAAAGCATCTATTATTTTTGTACTTTTTCTTATTTCTGTGTTTCTTTTTCTATGTCTTCGATAACGACCGCCGCCGATTAACCGCTGGTATCGGAAGAGACTATAAAGTCTCTTCCGATACCAGCGGTTAAAAATGGCGGTCAAAAAAGTCGTTGATCTTCTTGCGGAGCGATGAAAATTCGACCATTTCGTTATTTCGCGGTGACAGAACTTCCTTTTTGTTGATGCGGTGACAGCCTGGTAGGGATGCGCCGATCCGATCCTTTGAAAGATCGGATCGGAAGGCATACGATCCGGTGATTTTCGGATCGGATCGACGCCATACGATTTTTTGCCGGATCGTTACAAAACTTGAAAGATCGGATCGCTTGGATCGTATGAATTAAAACGCGGTTTGTTTACAATAAATTGGGTAGATACTTACTAAGGTTTCTGTTACGAACTTTATCTTTGTTTACATTTTAACTTGGCGGCATTCTTTGCAGGTGGATCCGTTAATCTTATACATTCTATTATTATAAACAAAAGTTGTACCTGATTAGGTGTGACGATTATTGATAGGTTTACCAAATAAAAATCTAAAATAATTTGTCTTATTTATTGTATCCAATCCGATCCGATTTCTTGAAGATCGGGTCGACGGCATGCGATCCGATCCGCGGATCAGATCGTAGCATTACGATCCATTACGATCCGAAAAATCGGATCGACGACCCGGATCGCACATCCCTACAGCCTGGTGACAGAGCCATTTCATTCCGGCCATCCGTCGCTGCAGGCAAATATATTGCGTCTTCTTCCCTCGTAAGCATAAGGCACAGTGTTTGAAGGAGAAGGATCGATTGTGATGCGGTTAATTCGAAAAGAGAATGACACGGTATGAAAGCAGACCCGGCACTTTTCATAGAAAAAATGCTAAACTTGTATACAGTTGAATTTGGTCTCAAAATAAAGCCAAAATTATTTGCTACATAAAACTACTTTTGCCTTATTTTTAGTGAATCGTGGATAGAAGTTATTTAATGATTAATATTTTTTGATATAGAAACCCTTTTGATGACAAACCTACGTATTTGCCATTGACAGCTAGCTGCTGATGACAAATATTGCCAGACTACGTTACCCAATTAGGAAACACAGATAAAAAAATTAAAAAAGTATACAACTTTGGCACAAAATGCCGGGTGTCCTTTAGAGATTAGAATATGTTTTGGCGTTACCAGAAAGCGATCGTTCACAAAATAATTCGTGGAGGTCACGACCCTCAGCAATGAGGAGCACGACACAACGAGGAGGAGGAAATATTTTTATTTTACATTAATTTCTATAAAACTGTACTAACTAATAAAATGACACGTCTTTCATGTCCCTAATAGTTTCCGCGTATTTTGCGTACTATCTAAAACCACACATAGGGCTTTTTGTTTCGAAAAACGTTGAATAAATTACACGTTGTAGCAAAGTGTAGCCGCAGCGAGAACGCGTGCCCGACTGAATGCAAGTCGGGCAATTACCTGACTTTCGTGTTGCCAAATTTAAAGCGTGTATGACGTATCTGTATAACCGTTTTTTATTTTATTTTTTGAAGTGAAAACTTCTTCAGCGGCGTTGTACACTTTTTTTTTGTATGAGTAAAAAATGTTAGACTCGCGTCAGGTTGAACACGTGGGCTGATCGCATCATGACACACAATAAAATTGGAAATGTTGTTGACTTTCAATATATTGGACGAAATTAGTAATATTTTATTTTACCGTATTATTATAATAATAAGTCCTCTATCTAGGACGTCTACGTGGCAGCTTTATTGCGAAGAAAATGCACTTTTTTTTTACAATAGATATCGCTAGGTGCGCTTAAACGTGATTCATGTAAGTTGATTTCTTTACAATAGATGTCGCTAAGTGCGCTTAAACGTGATTCATGTAAGTTGATTTTTCTGAGAGATATTTTTTTTAAGGTAATATAAATTGTCATGTTTGTGTACGATAGCGCAATAAATAAATATTGTATTCTACCACATACATGATATTACTTTTATACTGATAAATAAAGCAATTCGTGCAAAATTATTCCGTAACCATTCCAAAATATCAAAAATGCACAACATTAATATTCAAGTTTTCAATTCTGCCAGCACCTTCGGAGTGCAACCCATCGTTTTTTATAGCCAGGTAGGCAAATGACTCTACCCCACCTGATGTTAAGTGGTGATAAAGTCCAAACGCGAAGATAGCTGGTACAGCAGTTATAAACTGCCACACCAACCATCCTCACCTTGCCAGCCTGTGAAAATGCTTCTTTACACCTCTCTTAAAGGACCCCAGATTGTAGGAAGGAGGGAGTTTTAAAACATATATTATAATAAATAGTACAGTTGCTTACTTGATCTTCGTCTTGTCTTCCTCTTGGTCTTCTTGAGCGCCAGGTTCCGGTTTCACAAATTCCACTTTCAATTCTTTACCATCACCTAATGGGAAATAATATTGCTGAAGTCAATCAAGGGAGGAGCTCGATGGCGCAGGTGGTTAGCGCGTTCGGCTGCGATCGTTGAAGTTAAGCAACTTTCGCAGTGGTCGGTCATTGGATGGGTGACCGAAAATCTTCGATCTTGAGTTTCTCCGTGTTTCAGAAGGCACGTTAAGCCGTTGGTCCCGGCTGCATTTGTAATCGTTAGCACCCGCCAATCCGCACTGGGCCCGCGTTTGGTCATGGCCCAATCTCCCTATTCCATCCGTAGGGAATGCCTGTGCCCGATCAGTGGGGACATTAATAGGCTGATGATTAAGTCAATCATCTTTCACAATGACCGCTCTACTGGCCAAAACTTACGTGGTTTGCTTTGCATTAATGTCTACACTATTTTACGGGTTCCAATCCCGGTGGGGGCAGATGTTTGTGTCATGAATACGAGCATTTGTACTCCAGTCATGGATGTTTAATATGTATTTCTACATAAATATACTTATATATGTACAGTATGTATTCTATCTGTTACCCTAGTATCCCATAACACAAGCCTTACAGTGCTTACTTTGGTGCTAGGCTAATTGGTGTGAGTGTTGGAAATATTTATTTATTATTCATTATGAAATGTACAAAGTAATGACAGTAACAATTATAATAAACTCGGTAAATTCAGTATTTTGACAATCCCACGGGAACCTATCATTTTTCTATAACAAAAATATTCTGTCTCAATCCAGATCATTAGCTATATTTATACCAATAATAATAAAAGCCGTCCTACAAACCACTCTGCTACGGAGGTCTATAAAGTCGTCATTCTAGGATCTATGCTGGTCGAAATAAATAGATTTATTATTAAAACTCCAATAGGCTTATCTTATATATAAAATCCTCGTGTCACAATGTTAGTTACAATACTCCTCCGAAACGGCCTGACCGATTTTTATGAAATTTTATATGCATATTCAGTGGGTCTGAGAATCGGCTACTATCTATTTTTCATATCCTTATGTGATAATGGTTGTCCACCTGTAACGTAGTGTTCTGAAACCTACAATGCGCCTTCGCGTCAAAATTCAAACTATTGTGTATTGTAACGTAGTGTTCTCATATGGGTTAGGAGGAATGTTATCCCAGGAAATTGATAGAACACTACGTTACACACCCCTAAAATATTTTTTGGACAATATTTATTTTTTTATAATGTGGTATTAAAAATACATACAACCCCAAATTATCTCTTCTACCACCTGCCCATATTTTTATGGCGGTACGAAGTTCGCTGGGTCAGCTAGTCTCTTACTAAAATTTGATTATTGAAACTGGCTAAAATGAAATTTTATTTAAGTACCAAATCTGACAGTTATTTTATTCTGACAGTAAAAAAAAACTATAGACAAACTTACCCTGCCAAGTTTCTTCGTGTGTCAACACGTGTCTATGCATCTTGCTTGACGTTATAAATCCCCTATTGCATATATAACACTTGAATGGCTTTTCACCTGTATGAGTGCGCATATGAACTCTCAAATATGAAGCGGTACTCAAAGTTTTCTCACAAACACTGCACTTTAAAGGTCCTACAGTTTTAGCACCTCTGGTCTTGGGGGACGGTGGAGATTCTTCTATCTTCGGTGAACGAGCCCATGTGTTCGATGGGAAATAGTCTTCATCGGACAACCTATGAAGAAATTTTTAGATAAGTGATTTTATTTATCCAGAATGGCATATTTTCAAGAGTTTAGGGTAACTAAATTTGTCTTTAAAATGATTAGCTAAATTAATGAAGATCATTAATGTATATTGGAAACAACAAAGGACCCTTTATTGATCCCTGTAGCACACCCAATGACGACAGGGGTTCCAGCAGACTCGGTATTAATTAATGACAACTTTTTGATGACACTCGTTATAGATATGATTTAATAAGGTCGACTGATTTAATAGAGAAACCATAATGCACTAATATTTTTAATAAAGTTTCGTGGCTAACGGAATCGAATGCTTTGGAAAGATTACAAAAATATTGATATTGAAATATTCTCAAAATTAAATCTTTTTTCACCTTTTCAATAGTATCGCGTGGTATCGTTGACATATTTATACCAAATTCGAGTCTCTCTTAGTTCGTGAAGCGGTAACCAGGTATTATACCTTGAAGAGTGCAGTTGAATTAAAGAGGTACTAAATTAAAACTATAAAAAACTGACCTCTCATCTTTAACGCTATCATTATCGTCCTCAGACTTCACAGGTTCATCGGCCGCGTCATCGACGGCCGCATCCGCTGCCACGTCGGCAGCATCATCGGCTGTTACATCCGCGGTTTCCATTTCTATGGGCTCCACCTTGATCTCTACGTCGGGCGGGTCGATTTTGACCTCCTCTATGATGACCTTGAGAGGTGTCAATTCCACCGGCACTTCTATTTCGGTCTGGTGAATTAATTGAATGCATTGAAGCGCTGGATAAATCCTACACTAACATTATACTTTTGATTCCTTCTAAAGCATGATAAGGACAGACTGTCGTCAAGTTTCATCGTGGAATGAAATGAAATTATATTTTATTCAAATTGACTTATTGATAGCTTTGTTATTATTTATTTTTAAGCATTTAACTGCTAGATGTTTAAATCTAAAGAAAAGTTTTACTAGAAAGAAATCCACGCGGACCAGGCAGTGGACGGGACTCGAATCCGGACCATTCGCAATCCGGGCGAATGCACTGACCATTATGCTACCACGGCCCTATTGGCCACCTCGAAATTATACCTACAATGCGAAGAGATGGCGCTGCCTTGCAGCTTAAGGCTAGGAAAATTTTGGCAATAATGGCCAGTGCATTCGCCCGGATTGCGAAGGGTGCGGGTTCGAGTCCCGTCCGCTGCCTGGTCCGCGTGCAAGTTATTAACACGCTTATTTCTAGTACAATTTTCTTTAGATTTATAAATCTAGCAGTTGCTTAAATGCTTTAAAAAAGAAAAATATAACTTTCATAATTACCTTGGGCAATATATCTCCCTCTGGTGGGGCCAACCCCCACCCCTCGAAGGGGTTGTTCAACTTCTTCCTCTCTTTCTCTTGTTCCGCCTTCTCTTTCAGCTCTTCTTCCAACTCTTTCAGATATGGCAATATGGCGTTATAATCTGCGCAGATGGAAATAGGGTATTTGACAAGTTTTAGAAAACGATCTCACGTTATTGACTAATATTTATGGAGCCCGTAAAAAGTGGATATTCATCATTCTGTTGTGTATTTCAGTAAAAATAACCAAATCAAAAACTCCATTTTCAAGTTGCTGCGAAAACCTTTTTCTGGACAATATGGCGTCTTACTAGTGTGTGACGTCACACGACTGTTATTAAAACGTCAAACGATACAATGTAATGTCACTTTAACCGTAAGTTTACTTGCGTGTGACGTCATTTTAGGCTCCGCCAATCCCAAGCGTTTTGGGTCACGTGACAATTAGATAAGAAAAATATTCTCCTTTTCGTGGGTTTTTAGTAAAATTATAAATATTTTTATTGTAAAAATAGTAAAAACCCCTGCCAATATTCATTCTTAACACAGTTGCTAACAATTGGCACTTTATTTTTAATACTGTTAAATACCCTATTTGATCTAGTCTTTAAACACCCCTCATAAACAAGGAATAAGCTAGACTAAGCTAGACTAGACTAGTTACACCACGTTTTGTTCTTGCCACTCATATGCTATTATTAGGGATGTGCGATCCGGGTCGTCGATCCGATTTTTCGGATTGTAATGCTACGATCTGATCCGCGGATCGGATCGCATGCCGTCGATCCGATCTTCAAGAAATCGGATCGGATTGGATACAATAAATAAGACAAATTATTTTAGATTTTTATTTGGTAAACCTATCAATAATCGTCACACCTAATCAGGTACAACTTTTGTTTATAATAATAGAATGTATAAGATTAACGGATCCACCTGCAAAGAACGCCGCCAAGTTAAAATGTAAACAAAGATAAAGTTCGTAACAGAAACCTTAGTAAGTATCTACCCAATTTATTGTAAACAAACCGCGTTTTAATTCATACGATCCAAGCGATCCGATCTTTCAAGTTTTGTAACGATAAGGCAAAAAATCGTATGGCGTCGATCCGATCCGAAAATCACCGGACCGTATGCCTTCCGATCCGATCTTTCAAAGGATCGGATCGGATCGGCGCATCCCTATGCTATTTGTCATTCAATGAACAGAGGCAAAAGAGGGAGTAACTAATCCAATCTTATTCTTCGTTTATAGATCCGAATTGTGGAAGTACCTATCATTAGTAGAAAAACTGCAATTTTATGTCATCGCTTATATATATGGAGGAGCTCGATGGCGGGGGTGGTTAGCGCGTTCGGCTGCGATCGTTGAAGTTAAGCAACTTTCGCACTGGTCGGTCATTGGATGGGTGACCAAAAATCTTCTATCTCGGGTTCCCACTTGCTTCGGAAGGCAAGTAAAGCCGTTGGTCCCGGCTGCATCTGCAGTCGTTAGCACCCGCTGATCTGCACTGGGCCCGCGTGGTGGGTCACGGCCAAATCTCCATATTCCATCCATAGGGAAAGCCTGTGCCCCAGCTGTGGGGGCATTTCGTTGAAAATAACGTATTAAATTGAACAGGATATTATTTTAAATAAAACTTCAAACTTGTATTAATCCGAACGGGCAATAGGGTATTATCTCAACATAATACTGTTTAGAATACTCACAATCTTATATTTTGCCTAGACATTGACGACTGGACGGGTCATAACTAACATGCGACTGTCTTGACTGTCTCGAAAATGACGTTCATGAACAGTCAAGAAAGACATAATGTGTTGCTATAATTCAAAAACTATTTAGAATTAAAATACGATTGTCTTACCAGTTTATAGAGAAAAAAATGTAGTTTTCGAAACGCAAATAAAAAAATAAACGAATTTTCCGACTTAATACCCTATTGTTTGTGACGTGCAATGTGTTGCTATAATTAAAAAACTATTAAGAATTAAAATACAATTGTCTTACCAGTTTATAGAGAAAAAATGTAGTTTTCGAAACGCAAATAAAAAAATAAACCAATTTTCCGACTTAATACCCTATTGTTTGTGACGTGCAATGTGTTGCTATAATTCAAAAACTATTTAGAATTAAAATACGATTGTCTTACCAGTTTATAGAGAATAAAATGTAGTTTTCGAAACGCAAATAAAAAAACAAACGATGTTTCCGATTTAATACCCTATTGTTTGTGACGTCCGATATACTACTAACATATCATGTTAGCTGACAGTTTGTTGTGTGGTGAAACAAATGTCACATATGCGATTCAAATAAGAATAGGAAAGCCAATGACCTCCATCTGTCAAATGTCGCTTGAAAAGTACGGTTTGCAAAAAAAACTTGGAACCCTTTTTTAGCACTCCGCTAATTAAAGAATAAAAACCAAACATTTGTAAATAAACAATTACAAATATTGATAATTAATATCGGTTGATATTTTTTTCACTTATTGAGCTTTGGTCATTGTTTGATAACCTAAATCGTCAACCAAATGTCACTTTTAAGTTGCATTCAGAAACTCGATTTCAAACTTTCATTTACATAAAGGATGCATGTTCGTATGTGACCTAGTAATAGTGCATGATTATTCATAACTACTCCGGCGGTAATGCATAGATGAGAGGAATAGAAAAGCTAGATTCTGATTAATGTTTTTCTCACAGTCTTAATAAATTAAATAATCTTAAAAATCGGTAATTTTTTTTCTCAATCTTAGTAAATAAATGTTATTAAAAAAATCTGATGCTTTTTCTCACTTAATCTCAGTAAATAAGTTTTATTAAATTAAAAACTTTTTTTGCTCACTGTTGCGGCCCTCTAAATATTGTCAGACCTTTTTACTACCATTCTATGTATATTTTCTTAATTCATTCCTTTTAGCTGTCATATATATGTCTTCTGCTATCTAATTGTCATGTATGAATTACCTATAGTAAATTGATATTATAAAATTAATGGGTTTTAATTGAAGTAGTAAAGCCACGTTATGTAAGCCAATACATAAATTGGTGGCCCATGAGGGGAACAACTCAAGAAGTAAAAGCGAACGCTTAAAATAAAAAGAAAGGTCAAGATACATTGGTCGCAAAGATGGCGCCTATGCAGTCTTGAAGATCTTTTCCAAAGGGTGGATGGAAGTGCAGTAACCTTATCAGGGATTCGTGTCTGGGCTACGGGCAGTGCACGTCTAAAGTATCACACCGTGCAGGGATAAGTGCCCCTCCATCACACATCCCTTCACAAAGTAACATCAAATTCTGTTAAATAGTCAAAATAGTAAACTATTTTCTATTTAAATAGTTCAACAATCTCCTAAACTTGCGTTAATACGTTGATCAAAGTGCATAATTACGATAAAATTTCGTAAACTTACAAATAAACTTCTTTTTTTTTAAAGGTGGCCCATGCTTAAATACATGCATTTTACAATTTAACTTATTCTTACAAATAATTTTATTTTAATATCAAAATTCAAAATTCAATATCGTTTATTCAGTCTAGGCTGTTACAAGCACTTGTGAATGTCGAAAAGCTATGCCATCGGTTCGCAAATCTACGGCGGGAGACCTTGTACTGAGAAGAACCGGCAAGAAACCTCAGCAAGGGCTGTTTTTTTCTCCCTTTATTATATACAGAGTCGTCAATTTGAAAAATGAGTTCAATATGAGATAACCCATAAAGTCACTTTCCATTACAAATGTAAATGATAAAACAATTATGACTATAAAATAAAAAATATATCATAACTAACAGCTAGGAATTGTACTTAAAACTTACAATAGAATAAAATAGGTAATTTAACACTTCGTTAAATAATTTAACATAAAATTTTGCTAGTTCCTCATACTAAGTTTACAGCCGTGCTTGCGTACACTAAGTTAACAGTTCAATTCCCGCATATTTTGTCGATAATTCCAGGATATGCTTGTAGCGCGGGCCTGTTACGTAACCAGCTGATACGGATAACAGCTGAGCGAGGCTGGTATCGCGGCTGCTGTACCGACATCATTGTGAGGAGCGTGAGCGTATCTATTTATATTTTTCATTGTTTGTTTACTGAAACGTTCATCTATATATATAAAAATGAAACCCTTTTTCCGTTGTCACGACATAACATGAAAACGGCTTGACCGATTTGGCTGATTTTTTTTTTGTAGTTTTCTAATACTCTGTACAAGGTTCTTACGGAAAAAAATATAAAGAAAATCTCTCAGAAAGATTGAAAAATATAACGTATGTCAACGTCATTCAATTTAAAACAAAAAATCTGTGGTAATCTGTGACAACACATCCATAACCGCGCTAAAAATATAGCTACTCATACATAAGATAGGTCAGCTATACAAAATAAAGTAGTGCATCAAAGCTACGCTAAGGCGGTACGAAGTTCGCCGGGTCAGCTAGTTAACAATAATTCAATATGACCACGAATCTAAATGAAGGGGCGGTTGCTGAAGCTCTTAGTACTGCAAAGGAGCTTCAATCTTTGCTAACAATGCGTAGCTCAATTAAAGGCCAGATAACTAAATTTAATAATTACATAAATAGCATGGTAGTAAAAAGGTCTGACAATAATTATAGGGCCGCAACACTCACTCTACCTATTTGGTTTGAATTGACAGCTATGACATCACAATATGGCGCCCAGTCGGTCCTATTCTTAGTTGAATCGCATTATATGCCAATGACAATGAAATTAGTGGTCGAAAACTAAAATACAAGATATTATATGCCTTTATTTTCCTTACCATACGGTTCTCCTTCTAACTTATCGTCATGGTGTTTCTTATCAAAATGGGCCGTCAAATTCTCAAATCTGCGAACAAAAGACACTTCATAATAGCAATCATTGGGAAATGATTTTGTTTTAGTCGTTTAGGGCAGACCGTATGCAAATTGCACCCCAATAATTGGGCACGCCAGTACCAGCTTCTCCCTTTAGATTGCATCCAGCGCCGAGCGGCTCGAATCGTCGACGACCAGGACCTTTCTGATCAGCTTGATCCTTTGGCTTTGCGTAGGGATGTAGCATCGCTCTGCATCTTCTATCGCATTTATCACGGGGAGTGTTCTGAGGAATTGTTCGGATTAATTCCAGCTGCTGCATTTTGCCATCGTACATCGCGACAAAAATTTCATCCCCATCATCTTGATGCGTGGCTATCCACAACCATGCGTTTTTGTCGAAAATTTTTACCACGTACGACAAAACTGTGGAATATATTGTCGCCAGCAGTGTTTCCGGACCAATACGACCTAAAAACCTTCAAAAAAAGAGCGTACTCCTTCCTTAAAGGCCGGCAGCGCATTTGTGATACTCCTGGTGTTGCAAGTGTCCATGGGCGACGGTGATCACTTACCATCAGGTGAGCCGTCTGCTCGTATGCCACCTATAACATAAAAAAAAAAAAGTACATACATGTGATTGCCTACTGTTATGTCTGGTTTGTATATCAGACAGCCAGGGTATCTCCAATACGGGCTTGCAGGCGGAGTGTATAGGCATTGTCAGAGCAGCGGAGGCCATCACACGACGTGCAATCAGGGGTAAGAAAATGCGGATACTCTCTGACAGTGCCTCGGTACTCCAGGCGCTGGACAACAATATAATGACGTTCATTGTTAAGCCACAAGCCACTGCAAACTTATGGAGGTAGGCATCGAAAACGACGTCATACTCTAATGGATAAAAGGACATAGTGGGTCAAATGGCAATGATGCGGCAGATTGTCTGGCCAGGAGTTGGTCGGATACTGTGGTATTTGGCCCAGAAACAATCGTACCGATCCCATACCGACTGCTGCGAGGTTGAATTAGGGAACAAGACCTGCGGCAACATAACGAATACTGGGCTTGCACACTGCAGGCACGCCAGGGAGGCCATACCTAAGGTAGAACCACGGCTAGCAAGTAAGTTTTGCAAGTTACCAAGACATGCTTTGAAACAAATTGTGAGCATTCTCACGCCCCACGACAACGGCTAACTAGAGCCGAGGTCCGAGTCTCAGAGACGCCCTCTAGTTGAGCCGACCCCCTCAGGTCTGGAGGCTCCAGACGGAGTGGAGACTCCCCCCGTGGGGAAACGCCATCCGCCTGGAATACCTCCAGAGGCACTCGCCAATTCTCGGCTTGAAGTCCCCTTAGGATCTCGCCGTCCCCAAACCCGGTGACGCTGTAAAGGTCATCTGCGACCAACAGCATACACACTCACTATAATAAACATCTCTTTAAAATAGGTGTCTCGGACAGTCCTCTGTACAGAGCCAGCATGGAGAGGAGGGACGGATGACACACCTGGGCAGCCCGTAAACGCTACTCGAGGCCTGCGGAGACACCAAGAGAATGCTGAGCTTCTTGGGATAGTTGGGATGGCATGGCTAAAGCCATCCTCTCACGAAAAATTAGGGATGATCGATATTAGAAAAACATCGACATCGATGTTAACATCGCATCAAAAGTATCGATGTACGACAAATATCGATATGTCTAAAACATCGATGTTTTTGGAAAAAATAAAACTGTCTATTAAAATACAATATGATTTTTTTTATTTATTAGATAGGGTGTCTCGCTAAGAGTGTACTTTTTAATATTAAAATATAAACACGTATTTTTTGAGAGAGATGTAATGTTTTTATTGGATTCTAAAGTAGATTATGTACCGATTAAACATGAAATAAAATATTCGGCAAAAGGCCCCCACGGCTCTGATGACAGGCCATCTTAAAGGGCTCCATTTTTAATAATGAGAGTAAACGTAGGTGTATGTGTATGTAATTGAAGTTGACAGTATTTTATTTATCTCTTGAGAAATGAAAACAAACTTATTCGTACATACGGCTTTGGGCTTACTCCGATTATTTTGATCAGTGTTCTAGTGGAAAATATGTAGTTGTAACTTGATAGTCATCCGCTAATGATTATGCAACATTTAGTTGAAGCTAGTACACCTAATGCACCCCAGACGGCACCCAAAAGCATAATTGACGTTTCTATATTTTATTCTAGTGACATCGATGTTTCGATGATATCGATGTCAACCCATCGATGTTAAAATATCGACGTTTTCCAGTTAAACATGCCGATCATCCCTACGAAAAATAGGCACCTGGTGTCGAGTTGCGGAAAACATCCACCGCACAGAAGAAGATGTCTGGTTTGTATTGTACTCACTTGGTGAAGAATCTGTAGCATATCCTGCACTGGTGCCTGATCGCCAGGTGTATCCTCTTGTTGTGCCGGCTCAGCTTGCTGGCTGTTATGAATGACTGACCGCACACTGAGCAGGTGTAAGGCTTCTCGTCTGAGGGCAAGGTAGAATAATGGAGAGAGGTTCGTCATCATCATCGGTCTATTAATGTACCCACTGCTGGGGCACAGGATTTACCTATGGATGAAATAGGTAGAATGGCCCATGAACCATTATACAGGTGAAGGTACGTTCTTTATATGATGAATTATGATTTTTTATAAAGGACACCCGGCATTTTGTGCCAAAGTTGTATACTTTTTTAATTTTTTTATCTGTGTTTCATAATTGGGTAACGTAGTCTGGCAATATTTGTCATCAGCAATTAGCTGTCAATGGTAAATACGTAGGTTTGTCATCAAAAGGGTTTCTATATCAAAAAATATTAATCATTAAGTAACTTCTATCCACGATTCACTAAAAATAAGGCAAAAGTAGTTTTATGTAGCAAATAATTTTGGCTTTATTTTGAGACCAAATTCAACTGTATACAAGTTTAGCATTTTTTCTATGAAAAGTGCCGGGTCTCCTTTATTATCTCTCGCTCATCCGTGCTTGGGAAGGCACGTTGAGCCGTTGGTCTAGCGGCATAAAAGGGTATTTCACTCTACTTAAGATAAAACCTACAAATGTTTTATTGCGATAGTTTAGGCATAGAGGAGTCGAAAAACGTTAGCTTCAGTTCATAAAATAACAATATGCATTTTAAATTTCAATGAAAAATTTTCAGTTTTTTTAATCTGTTTTAAAAAAACGATGACATAGTAGACGCATTGACCGCCACATTATTACGTCACACCGCTACTATATGCCAAAGTGTCAGCTGTCAACTCAGTACTTTTAATGTTTACGGAACCAAGGTAACGCATTTATTTACAGTACTAATGACGTCAAGACCGCAAAGCAAAATATGGCGCCCACAGCGTCCAGCGTTATCGTTTAACCGCGCGCGAAATTTGAAAATGTTAAATTTAAATGTATTTATAAGGCACTTAACGATTGAATAAAAAAATAAGTTTATTTAGTAGCATAGTAGCTATTTAGAGATTAATCGAATTTACCTGAAGTGAAGTTCTATCCTAATTACGTTTGGGCATCCTAAATAATCACTTTTAACATAATTTAAATAAAACTTAAATAAAACTAGTTTTTACGGGTTAATGCACGAAACTTTATTTATTTATTGACGTTTCGCAGCCTTTTCAGGTCTGCATCGTCAGTCAATAATGATTTTTTTTTTAAATTGTCGAGCTACCTTCGAAAGACTTATATTGAGCGTTCGGTTATTTCATTGGAAGATTTTTAAAATTTTATTGTCTATGCATGAATTTATTATTTAATTTACTTAATAAAGTATATTTTTAATATTTTGAGTTTATTTATTTGACCCTAACTACCGTAAACTACCACCGGGTCCAAAATTGGGAGACCTTCCTGAGAAGAACCGGCGAAACAAACTCAAGAGAGGCTTTGTATCTTCTTCTTATGTTAAATTATAAATAAAACTTGATGTGAAACGGCGACACACTGCGAATGACAGCTATGACGGGCGCTAGGACTTACTCATATCCCAAATTTAAAGAAAAGAAAAAAAAACTAATAATTTTATTCTTTTTAGTTTACATATTCTCTGTTATTCAAGCTAATCTCGAGGACGAAGCATGAAGTATAATTAGAATTTAATTGAAGCACTTTTAAAAATGGTTATAATTCCCTATTAGCATTCACCAATCCGCAGTTGAGAAGATCAATGGCGCAAGTGGTTAACGCGTTCGGTTACGATCGTTCATGTTAAGTAACTTTCACGGAGGTCGGTCATTGGATGGGTGACCAAAAATTTAATATCTCGAGCTCTTTTGTGCTTCGGAAGGCACGTTAAGCCGTCGGTCCCGGCTGTGTCCAGCAATCCCCATTAAGCCTGCGTGGTTGATCACAACCTAATTACCCTATTTCATCCATAGGGAAGGCCTGTGCCCCAGCAGTGGGGACATTATTAGACTGATGGTGATGGACAAGTTAAACATAAATAATGCCAGTATAATTACTATTACGCTGTACCAGTTCATAAGATATTTATTCTTCTACTAACTGTGCCCTTACCGCTGTTTACTGTTGTTTTGTATGATTATAATAAATTTGACACTCGGAATGCAACTATTACTCAATTTAAATTTGAATATTTAGATAATTTATTAGTATTTTGTATGCTCTTGTAAGGGCGAAACATATAGAACTTTTTATATTATTTACCAGCTTTAACAAACTTTTTTTCATGCAAATAAACTTTCATTTATTAGGGATATTTTCCTGCAGTAAAACATAGCTTATGTTTTGCTACTCCCTGTGCTCTTCATACCAAATTTAAGTAAAATCGCACACTCACAAACTTTCGCCTTTATAATATTAGTGTGAAGCGTGAAGCCAGGGAGGGGTCCAGCAGGACGGCCATTGGTCCAGAGCCAATTATACCCATACCCTATCGGCAGCTGCGAACCTGGATAAGGGAGCGCTCTCAATGACAACACGAAGATTACTGGTCAAAACTCACAGACTGCAGGCAAGCTAGGGAAGCCGTTCCTAAGGTAAGCCTGCAGCTAACACGTAAGTTAATCAGACTTCCTAGAGAAGCCCTAAAACAAATCGTGGGTATACTCACGGGTCACGGCTACTTCAACAAACACCTTTGTAATATAGATATTTCTGACAGCCCTCTGTGCAGAGCCTATCTGGAGGCGGATGAGACGAGCGCCCATGTCCTTCTGGAGCAGGGGCGTTGCAAGGCAACGGACTTCTCTAATGGGAAGCCCGAAGACAATAGTAGAGGCTTGCAGCAACATTCGGGGACTGTTGAGCTTTCTGGAGGAGCTGGGATGGCAGGACTGCGACCAATCCCCACGCAAAATAGACACTGGGTGTCGAGTTGCGGAAACAGCCCGCCACTAAGACTAAGACTATTAGTGTGAAGTGTGATAAATATGCTAGTTACCTGTATGTGACCGAACATGCAGTTTCAAGTAATAACTCAACGTAAACTGCTTGTTACAAGCAAAACACTTGTAAATCTTCTGCAAGTTCAACAGAGACTGCTTTTCCGAATCAGACATCTGTTCGGTGATGTCCTTACGTTCATTCTCATCGGTGATCGGTTTAATATCTTTCTTATCGTCTGGTTGATTCTCATTGTTGTGATTTAAAAAGGAGGATGCTGTTTCGTTGCCAATGTAACCATCTTCTGGTTTGATTTCAACTTCGGATGTGTTACTTTCAAGTGTATTATTTTCAAGAGTATTATCTTCTGTTTTAATTTTGGTTAGCTTTTTCATTTTCTTCTTCTCCTTCTTTAATTTCTTTCTTCTTAGCAAGTTCTTTATCTTCAAGTCATAGCTAGTGACTCTGTCTTTGTGCACTGTCACATGTTGGTCCAATTCATGTAGAGCGGTAAAACTTACATTGCACACCGAGCAACCGTAAAACTTAAAGTTGCCATCTTTGATCTTCTCTGACCAATATTTACTCGTTCTGCCCTTTAAACGTTTCTTTTGTTTCTCTTCTTCGGTTTTACAGAGCGGTTTAACCACTTCTTTTTGGGGTGTCGGGTTAGTTACTATTGACTCAGGTTTCTTATTGTTTAAGCTCGTCAACACCTTGTCTTGGTGATTCAGCATCTCCTGTTGTATCGCATTGAAGATGTTGTAGAATTCTGTGTTAATCGGTCCTGTCTGTTGTTCTGTTTTCACATTGTAGTTACAAGTCGGCATCGGTGGAGCTTGGCAATTGTAGTTTTCGTACTGAGTGTATTCATAGCTCAGTGGATCCATCTCTGCCGGCATTTGGGTTTGGTTCATTTTGGTTTCTGTGGACAATTTTATAAATATTGATTTATTTATTACTATTTTGACATACACTGTAAGCACTATAAGGCTTGTGTTATGGGTTATAGGGTAACGGATAGAACACAATACTGTACATATATAAGTATATTTTTATAGAAATACATATTAAACATCCATGACTGGAGTACAAATGCTCGTATACATGACACAAACATCTGCCCCCACCGGGATTTGAAACCGGGACCTCTTGAGTGGGTGACACCATGAAACCCAGCGTACGAACCACTTGACCACGGAGGTCGTCATATTGATTTATTTATTACTATTTCGACATACACTGTAAGCACTATAAGGCTTGTGTTATGGGTTATAGGGTAACGGATAGAACACAATACTGTACAAATATAAATATATTTTTATAGAAATACATATTAAACATCCATGACTGGAGTACAAATGCTCGTATTCATCACACAAACATCTGCCCCCAACGGGATTTGAAACCGGGACCTCTTGAGTTGGCGACACCATGAAACTCAGTGTACAAACCACTCGGCCATGGAGGTCTTCTAATTATTAAAATATATTTAATCACTTTACTTCATTAAAATATTTTAAGAAATATGCACAGATAAATTACAAATATACATCTATTATTATTTCTTATAAACAATAACCAAAATAACAATTGTATCATTACATGCATTTATAAAATTGTTAAGTATTCACGATATTGCTAATCATAAGGGTTTTATGAACTCATATTTCCCATTGATTTGGTAAAGATGCTCAGAGATATTTAACCTATAAGTTTGCAGGTAATAGAAATCTTTATTTTTTTGTATGACTGTAAAACAATAGATGTCCTTGAATATTAATGGATATTAAAAAATATATTTTCTACACATATTCACCTTAAAAAAATTTAATAAATAATGAGTTTTACCACTGTTGAAAGCTTTCATGGTGCTACTAATTCTTAAGGAGTTTATTTAATGTTAAATTGTTTGTAGTTAATGAGAATCAGTTGTTAATTTACACACTATAACCTCAATACATAACAAAACATTTTCCTTGTTTTTATCTTTAATAACACACAATTTACAGGTATATTATGACATTACATTTTTCTGTATCATCAGAAATAATATAATACGCGATACGACGTGTCGTTTACGTTGAATACCATATTAACGTAATGTAAACACAAGTTTTTTCCGCCTAAAAACACACAATAAAGCATTTTAAACCCCGCAAATTGCAAAGAGTAACGAAAGAATGTCGCCCAGCCTAATCAATACACAGCGGAGAAAAAAGTGGGTACCTGTAATGGGCACGGATGGTACAAAAAAACTCTTTTTTTAACAACACATTATGTGGATCACAAAAAAATGAAACATTTCATTGCTTTAAAGCACTAAAAACGCACTCTGATTGTTACTGAAACACTAATAAACACTTATTTTGCCATACACAAACATTAAATACCATAATTATTAAGTTTAGAACGATAAAAATTAATCATAAATTTGGATTTTTTTCCTCGCGTGATCGAAAGAACTGACTTCCATGGCCGTCATAATTCAAGTTGCCATTATTTAACGGAAATTCCCCTAAAAATAGCCTGTGAGTCCTGTGCCTGACTGACTACGGAGCAAAATATATTTTGCCATTTTTCTCAAACAAACTTAAATAAATATTAATCTGAATTTAAATGATTCAATTATATAAGTTACTAGAGATCGCGCGCTACTTCGTCTGCGTTAGCTTAGTTTCTTGAAAATCCCTCTGGAACCTAACATTTTTCGGGATAAAAGTAGCCTATGTGTTAATCTAGGGTGTCAGCTTACTCCATACCAAATTTTTTTAAAATCGCTTCAGCCGTTTGGACGTGAAGAAGTAACAAACATACACACTCACATACTCACATACTCACAAACTTTCGCCTTTATAATATTAGTTTGATTCTCACACTGATACACACCTACAAAAATGTTTCAATAGAGCGAAACTTGCTTCGCTTTGTATTCTGCTGTGCTAGGAGTCAGTCGTATCAACTTCCTAGTAAAAATACATTTCACAGAATATAAGTATCATTCGTCACTGTGATTTCGTATTTTATTCAGCTATTCTGCCCTATAAAAGTTACAAGAGATAGGGTTATGTGGGATTCCACCTCTGACCAAATCCCGTCACCCGCTCAGGTAGCCCATAAGACTGACTCAGCGGCTGCTTGGGATGAGGAGGGGGCCCTACTCACTAAAAACCCAACAGTGCTTCCTCTCCTGCCAGAACGGGTGTCGTGGGTCCTGGCGGCTCTCCACATTACCCCCAGCAGGAGTTCCTTCTCCTCTGGCGGTCAGGGGGTTGCCCAGAAGCACCCAAAGCAACCCACCTCGACGAGTGAGACTAAGCAATGCGGACGGCTGACCACCCTATTCATCGTCCGCTAGCCTCACTTGCTTGTAAAATGTCGAATAGCTTTCAGAATAGTGATTTTGTGATTCCGTGGAATTTGTTTTTATATCTGAGCTGATTGCACACTTATTATAAGCACATGAAGACACTGTTTAATCTTTTTATCACTTTACGCAATATTGGTTTTTTAATGCATAGCCTAATTTGAGGTGCACTCTTATGAATGCTGGTGTCTTATTTTTCTTTTTATTTTTATTTAATCTGAGATGACAGAACTATTTTAGTTTTTATTTTGAATTGAATAATATTTGTAATACTTTAGTGATTAAAAGTTATACGATAAATTTGTATTAAAATTATTGAGATATAAAAGTGAAGGAACTTTTCGAATATGGTAACTAATGAAGACCCGTTTCATTCACCATACCTATCAATAAACAAAATCAGTTCTTTGTGATTGTGAATTGTTACTACCCATCTCGTGAATGAGAAATTAACTCTCTATCTATAATGCTATACACAAGCAAATTATTATAGATTGTGCTCCACATCTGCAAAAAAATTATAGGTAGTGAATAGTTGATTGTGGCTTTTCACTTTATTTTCGGGTAATTTTATTTGTTATGGTAACATTTTTCATGTCAAAATGTCAAGGTCGTTCTCTGTCAATAGTAATACGTTTCTTTTCACATTTTATTAAATTAAAAATTAGTTTTTTTAAAATATTTTTAATTTGTTTTTATTTTAATACAAAACAATAAACTGGACAGAGAAACTGGTTACACAAGAGCCAAAATTACTTTTACTTATTGACAAATCGTTTATAAAAAATAAAAGCATTGACAATTATTTTTGATTGAAGTTATTGAACTAAAACAAATAAGTACAGAGAGCCACAGGCTAAGTTACCCAAAACTGTGAAATTTCTATAACTGACTTTAACCTTTTACTGGGTGTAATAAGATTGGCAATCTTTTGAGAAAATTTGTCAGTTTCTGGTAACTTGATGTGGCTCGGAATCCGAGTTTAGTGATAAATGAGTTTATCTAGGTATATAAATATTCTGGCAACAACTTTAGGTAGCGATACCTAATCAACTATTGAATGTACAGAAAACTATTGTTACACTATACAGTTAAATCCTAGACAAAGATAATAGATGAGTAATAATGACGACGATTATCATTTTAATACTAAAACCTACTCTTTAAATATTATGTATTTAAAAGCGCACTGCTTGTATTACCAAGTAGTGTTTGCTATTCCGTAACTGGAGTCATATAGCGTTTACAAAGAAGACACATGCTGTAACAACGACACAAATAAATTTGTTAGCATCTACCATTAATCGACGTTATAAATACAGCACTAAAGCTTTTATTACGTTGACTTAGGGTTTATATTGACTGCAATATTATCTTCGTCCATTCCATGTTAAAAGTATTTCGAAGACTAGTTATTTTACGCATCGTGCTGTTAGATTTTCATCTTTATCATGTAGGAAATAACGTTTAGTGAAAATGGAATTGAAAGGTAGAAGATATAGAAGTTGAAATGGATTGGTACGGATACTTACAATAGTACGGCGGGAAACAGCGACGCAAATAGTCGCGCGCTTATTGCAAAATTAGGCGCGAAATACGTAATACGTCGTGTGAAAGTGTCGCCGCGCCTTTAATTAATTAAATAAAGTTACATTTAAAAGTTCAGTCTAACTTTTTTGCCTAACCAATATATTGCATTTTACTTTGTTTTTTTTTCTCATTTGAAAGATTCCTCGATTTTCGCTGGCTAGTATATTTATATAATGGTGTCTATTTTACGTTTATCTATTAATAATGTGTTGGAGGTTCAGTGAATTATGTGCCTTTGCCTCGAAAACGTGATGGTAAATATTTTTTTTTAAATTTGTCTCTAATATTTTTTTTTGTCATCAATGATTTTCGCTTAATCGTTTTAGGTTTAAGTCATGGTATGGACTTTCTTTATATATTTATATATGTACTATTACAAATGTGTTTGGTGCATGGACCTACTTATGGTCAAAATGCAATTTATATTTATAAGACTAGATAGGACCTATAGATACTCGTATAATACTATATCCGTGGTTAGATAAAATCCCAAGCACTTTTCCTTATCACTTTATCACATCAGGCCCTTAAAGGGTCTTTGAAATGTGGACTTTGTCCGATTTGGTAGTTGGGCACAAAGAACTTACTTGACGCCCTTGGACGGACTGTTAATATAAATTGTAAACGCTTTTGAATAGATTGTGTAATAAAGTACCTACTTATTTATAAGTTTGCTACATACTTATGCTAAGCTTTGTTATACAAAGCATGCCCTTCCATTTATAGATTTAATTGGTTTTATGTTTTTTTTATGTTTTATGGTTTACATTTAACAAATGTTACCAAATTGCTTTTATTGTACTTTTAGGCGAAACGGACGCGTATGTTTTACTGGTAAAAACATTTATTCTAAAACTAATAGGAATAATATACCACGTCTTATATAACAATCAAGATAAAAACTAGTAATAATAACTTAAATCATACAAACTTAAAACTTTAGTAGTTAATTGTTGACCTGTAACTTGAAATACTTACGTGTAAAAAATATTCCATTCTCATGCTGGGCTAGAAGCGTAACAAAAAATATTATGTGCGCTAGCTTCCGGTGTATTTAATCACAAAACTTATAACATTTTCAATTTTGATTCGATTCGATTTGATTCGATTCGATTCGATCAAGGTCTGGGGCTCCATAGCTAATTATATTAGAAGCAGTATTTCACACATGTATGATTACCTACTCTAGTCTAAGGGTGCGGCCAGAGTGCACTCAGATTCAGATTCAGATTCAGATTTCGAAAACAAGCGCGAGAAATAAACAGTGTAGTCGAAGGGTACGGCCAGATTGCACTCCTGATTTAGATTCAGATTCGGACTCAGAAAACAAAGCGCGAGAAAAAGCAGGCAACCTGCTTAGACTACACTGTTTATTTCTCGCGCTTGTTTTCAGAATCTGAATCTGACTCTGAATCTGAGTGCACTCTGGCCGTACCCTAAGGGTGCGGCCAGAGTGCACTCAGATTCAGATTCAGATTCAGATTCTGAAAACAAGCGCGAGAAATAAACAGTGTAGTCGAAGGGTACGGCCAGAGTGCACTCCTGATTCAGATTCAGACTCAGAAAACAAAGCGCGAGAAAAAGCAGGCAACCTGCTTAGACTACACTGTTTATTTCTCGCGCTTGTTTTCAGAATCTGAATCTGAATCTGAATCTGAGTGCACTCTGGCCGCACCCTAACCCATTATAAAAGACGCTTCAGAGTATCATTAATGCTCTCATCCCCTACTACGTGGATGTATGGAACCTTTTTTTTTTATGTAAAAGAGTGGCAGCTGGCAAATGAGCTGGTAAATTGTAATTTATTTTTTGATGTGTAACATTTATCCTCTCGTTATAATTTTTATTATTTTAAAGCATGTAACTGCTTGGTGTTTAAATCTAAAGAAAATATAAATAGAAAAAATTCTCGAACCCGCACCCTTCGCAATCCGGGCGAATGCCCTGACCAATTATGCTACCGCGGCCTTCACGGACCGGGTCGAAATTTCTCTAGCCATTCTTAAGCTGCAAGGCAATCTTTCCTCTCGCTTTCCTGCAATTTGTGGGAGTGATTCCGTGAAATGGGACGGAAGTGTGTAACAGGAAGTCACGATGTGTAAATGGCTTATTCCTTTTGTAGTAGGTTTTATTTCTTTTTTACTCATATAAGCTGAGGTTTCAAATGTTACACATCATACGCGACTACTGTAAAGCTCGCTCGTTTTTTTAAAGTAAATCTTATCTTTTTATTTATACACTAGTGGCCTGCCCTCGCTTCGCTTCGGTGTAGAGCTGTAGTGTAAACTATAGTTTTTATTCTCAGGCTTGTCCTATAAATAATGACTTTATTTATATAATTACACGTGTTATTGTGAGTCAACCATAAAAGATAGACATATGCTGTTGCGGGATATTTTTTAGACAATTTTATGTAGAATATTTCCGTCATACATGATTTCTATGTAACTTTAACCATTAAGGCTGCACCCGCGACGGAAGCTTAAAAAATGGAGTAACTTCTCCCGTTTTCCCAACATTTCCCTTCACTACTCTGCTGCTTTTGATTTTAGCGTGATGAAAAGTATACTATAACCTGCCCAGGAGTATGAAGAATAATTGTACCAAGTTTCGTTAAAATCCGTTGAGTAGTTTTTGTTTCTATAAGGAACATACACACAGACAGACAGACAGACAGACAGACAAATATTTTACTGATTGCATTTTTGGCATCAGTATCGATCACTAATCACCCCCTGATAGTTATTTTAAAAATATATTTCATGTACAGAATTGACATCTCTACAGATTTATTATAAGTATAGATATAGGTAATGTTCTGTAATTGTTTAATGTGTCTGTACTTATGTAGGCCAAAAATAGTGTTTCTTTCTTTCAAATAAGCACTATTGCTCGCCTGGTAAGCGGCCACCGGCTTTGTTGATCCTAGATCTTTTACACTTACGATACCAGAGTATTATAGTTGTCTACTTGATCCAATGCTCTACCTACCCTATGGAGCTGTGAATCTTTACTCACCGACAGAAATGCACAAAATCACTAAAAGATAATGTTAATTTAGCTGTGGTTTAGGGATGTCGAAAGTTGAAAAAAATATCGATATATCGATACATCGATCTTTTAAAAAATATCAATATCGGCTTCGATATATCGATATATCGGACCAATTTTCCCAAAAATATCGTGCAGTAGCTCACGAAATATGACACGCGGAATAATAATGGAACGAAAATTATCTCCCTAAAAATAGACCCTATTTTCGAATGATGAAAATCATTAATTTGAGATCCAGTTACGATTTTTCCAGATACGAATTTAGTTAGATCGTGATATGCCGCTAACAATTAAAAAAAATATCGTTTTTGATACGAATTTCGATATTGGTTATTTTGTATTGATGTATCGATATATCGAATCAAAATATATCGGCAAAAAATATCGATATATCGAACAAAAAATATCGACATATCGATACATCGATATATTTTCAACAAGCCTACTGTGGTTTTCTGTAAGGTGTTTATTTGCCCAAACGTGTGCTTAAATTAGAGATGAAAATTCTAAGTGTCCTACCCCTCATGAAAAGACACACACCTCCCATTTCATTGGTTAATTAATACTTCATGGGCTTAGAAGACATTCGTGCAAGAAGAGTTTGTAATCGTGTTAAAACATTAATAAACAAATATGCTTTTTAATGTGTAACAGCTTTCTTCTCGCTTTCCTGCAATTTGTGGGAGTGATTTCGTGAAATGGGACGGAAGTGTGTAACAGGAAGTCGCTAAAGCGCGCGCTCTTTGATTTGATTTTAGAACATAATGTTATACCTTTTGTAGTAGGTTTTGTTTCGGTTTTACATCATTCGCGACTACTGTAAGGCCCGCTGTTTTCTTTTTTTATTTATAGTCGTATTTCATGATCTTGCCTTCTATGTTAATAATTGACTTCAAAAAACAGATAAATCATCATGCCATGTAATTTTATAATTTGTACTATGCAAGCCTTTGATTGCATAGATCACCACTTAAGTGCAAATTATTCCATTATGATAATCGTAGGGTTGCCCGCGATTTTCCTTGTCATAATTATTCTATACTAGCTGTGCCCCGCGGCGTTACTCGCGGTTTATAAGGGATATTTTCCCGCAGTAAAATGTAGCCTATGTATTGACGACCTCCGTGGCCGAGTGGTTTGTACGCCGGGTTTCATGGTGTCGCCGACTCGAGAGGTCCCGGGTTCGAATCCCGGTGGGTGCAGATGTTTGTGTGATGAACACTAGCATTTGTACTCCAGTCATGGATGTTTAATATGTATTTCTATATAAATATAATTATATATGTAAAATATATGCATTCTATCCGTTACCCTTGTATCCCATAACACAAGCCTTATAGTGCTTACTTTGGGGCTAGGCTAATTGGTGTGTGTTAAAAAAAAAAAAGAAAAAAAATCCAGGGTGTCAGCTAACTCCATACTAAATTATATTAAAGTCGCTCCAGACTAGACTTGCAACGAATATTCGGTTACTATTCGGTATTCGGCCTATTCGGCTGCTTTTATTACATTCGGCCGAATACCGAATATCTACATATTATTCGGCCGAATACCGAATACTTAAATAATATATTTTGTCATAGATAAATAATTATTGGTAAAATGAAAAATTTAAATCGATTGATTTCGTATATATTCATATTTTCATTTCTGTTATATAATCATTTAAGTAGTCATTGGTACATAAAACAGGTACATAATCATCTTCTGAATTGGAAAAATGGAGGATTCTATGTATTTGAATTATTGTGGTAATCAAAATTAAGAAGGGTAAGGTTCTCATTTCTTTTATAATCATTTATTAAGTAGTCATTGGTACATAAAACAGGTACATAATTTAATCATTTTCTGTATTAAACAAGTTAACAGTTTTTAATTCATTCAGTCACGTGATGAATGGTTACATAATAGCAATAATTTAAAGTTTACGCGCCGTTTTTGGCCATATCTCAAAAGTTGGTTTTGACATTTAGCCGCATTTTCGCTTGAGGACGGCAGAATAGAATAAAACAAAGGAGCGCGAAACAATCACGTCTGTACAAGTTTTTGGCGCTAAAATCCAGCCGAATACTTTTGCCTTATATTCGGCTATTCGGTCAGGGGCCTCGCCCAATATTCGGTATTCGGTATACTGCCGAATATACTATTCGTTGCAAGTCTACTCCAGACGTTTAGTGTGGTGATGGAGTGTGGGTGATTC